CCCCAGATATTTTTATTTATTTATTTTTTTCCAGATATTTTTAATGAGTATGAGTATACCTAGTATATAGGACCTCTTAGTGATAGATGGGCAATATTATAACTCTCAACTTGTTGAATGTCTGATATGACAAGTTTGTGTTGCCCAAAATCTAAGAATTAATGTTAAGGAACAACAGATGTTCATGGTAGTAAATTTTATTGAGGGAATGACACCTTTGGAGAGACAGGAAGGGGCCCGGATGGGTTGCCATGGACTGCACTTTCTAAAGGAAGTTTTATAGAGCAAAATCACAAGGTGGGTGTAAAATTACGAGATGGGTAGAACATGGGACAAAACTATGATCAAACAGTAAGATTTTAAGTATAGCTGCTTAGGTAATGTTAACTTAATAAGGAAGCAAGTCACACAACAAGTGTACATGGGAAGAACATGGACCTTTTTTGGAATGAGTCAGAAGGTCCTGGTCACCCACCTGGGTGACTGATGTCCTTGTAATACAGTTCAGGCTGGCCTTGAACTCATGGCAATCCTCCTGCCCCAGCCTCCAGAGTGTTTGGATTACAGGCATGTGCCACCACACTCAGCTGTGACTGATGTCTATCTAGATTTTACTGGACCAAGAGATAACAATTACAGTATTGCTTATGCCTCAAGAAGGCATGTAGGGCCGGGGAGATGGCTTAGTGGAATAAGCACTTCCCTGGCAAGTGCAAGAGCCTGAGTTCAATCCCTGGTTCTGCCAAAAAAAGAAAAAAAAAGGCATGTAGGCCAAGTTATTCTGTTTTTATCTTGAGACCTCGCCTTCAATGGTTGTGCCTCTAGCCACAATTATGGTATATTCTTATCTTTTACACAGGTTCCCTTGAGGGCCTAACCCTGTCTGACTGACTGTAATATTTCTACTTAATTCAGTTGTCTATAGAAGTACCAGAGATTTTTGAACCAGTATATCTGGTAAATGTAGGGTATATTTCCCATAATCCCTGGAATCTTTCTTTCTTTTTGTCTTTCTCTTTCTTTCTTTCTCTCTTTTTTATCTCCTTATGGTATTGTATTTGGAACCAGAGTCATGAACATACAAAATAGGGAATCTTTTTCTTCCTAGTGCCTGGGAAGTGAACTCAGTACCTTGCCAGGCAGTTGTTGTACTGCTGAGTTATATCCCTGGCCCCTAAAGTATAGAATCTTTATTCATTTGTGTGTGTGTTTTGAATCTTTTTTTAATTATTTATTTATTTATGTGTGTGTGTGTGTGTGGCCAGCTCAGCCCACCAAGGGGCGGGGCTGGCTGGCATGTGGTGCTGGGGGATTGAACCGCAGTCCCTGTGATTTGCTCAGCTTGCTCTAAGTAGGAGCTTTAGACCACTGAGCCATCTCACCAGCCCCTTGAATCTTTATTTGAATAAGTTTATCTGATGGTTTTTGTCTTTTTTTTTTTTTGAAACTGGGGATTAGACTCAGGCCCTTGCGCTTGCCAAGCAAGAGCTTATTCTAGTGAGCCATCTCCCTGGCCCCAGTCTGATGATTTTGATGCAAGGGATTTGCAGAACACTTTTTTTTTT